CGGGCCATCCAGAGAGCCTGTCGGCGACCACCAGGAAAGACTTTCCGGCCACATTAAAGAAGTCGGCGGACACGGACTCAAAGGGCCGCTTCGGGAGGTCATTGCACAGGTACGGCTCTTGTTGCTGGCTGGGCTGGAGTTGCTGGCAAGGCTCACAGGCCTCCACCATGCTCTTAATATCGGCGTCAATACCAGGCCAGAAGACGGTCTGACGGGCTCTGCGCCTGGTGGCTTCAACGCCGCGGTGGCTGTCATGGAGGCGGGATAAGGTGCGCCGGCGGAGGGCAGCGGGAACGACGATCCTGGGGCCGCACAACACCAGCTCTCCTTCCGCATAGAGGCTATCCCTTAGCTTCCAGAAGGGGAGGGCGGAGGCGTGAATGTCGTAGCGGTTGGTGGGGAATCCAGCGGAGATGTAGTCGAGGAGTTGGACGTATGCCGGGTCTTGAGCGGCGGCGATGCGAAGCTCCTGGAGAGTCCTATCGTCTTCGATGGAGGGCGTCGTCGTCGTCTTATCAGCAAGAGAAGTGGCTGTGTGTGTCACTAAAGACCGAACGTGAGCCGCGGCCGTGGTACAGTCGACTTCATCTTCAGGTGTGGGGCGACTAACAGGAGCTCGGGAGAGGGCGTCTGGTATGCACAGAAGCTTCCCGGCGCGCCACACAGCTGTAAAGACGTAGGGGGCGGTCTTCTCTTTGAGACGTTGGAGGCGAGGATTTTCGATGGCGTCCAACGTGTAGTGATTGAGGATGGGTATGAGCGGGCGATGGTCCGTCATGAGGGTGAAATGCCCAAAGCCGAACAGGTAAAGGCGGCACTTGGCCATAGCCCAGGCGACTGCCAGCATCTCTAGTTCGATGGTGGCGTATCTGGTCTCCGTGTCGGTCAAAAACCTGGAGCCACACTGAACTAAGCGCAGTCTACCCTGGCCGTGATCTTGAAGGAGGGCATATCCGAAGCCGTATAGACGGGCGGCGTCGGTCTGGAGGACCACTGGTAAGGACGGGTCGAAGGGTGCCAAGACTGGTGGTGACAGCAACGCCTTCTTAACATTCCTGAACGCTAGGTCGTGGTCAGGAGTCCAGAGGAAAGAGCGCTTGGGCTCATGAGGGGGCGTAGAGGTTGGGCTGATGTGGCGATTTTAGGGGAGAAGTCGGCCAGCTGATTTACCAGGCCCATAAACGAGCGAAGGTCGGTCAGGTTCGCTGGAGTAGGGAAGTCCCTGATGGCCTTGACCTTCTCCTCATCAGCTGAGATCCCCTCTGGCGAGATGTTGTAGCAGCAGTAATTAACTTGGGAGGCGGCGACCACAAATTTATCTTTGTTCAGGGTGATACCATGGGCACGACATCTTGTGAGCATCAGATGAACTCGGTTCAAGTGGGCCGGGAGATCATCGTCGAAGAGCAGGATGTCATCTACGACCTTCACGCAGTTGGTGACACCCTGCAGAGCCATATCCCCACGGAGGCAGTACGCATCCCCCGTTGCTGCGAAGCCCATGGGTCCGCGGCAGTGTTGGAAGCGGCCGTGGGGCGTGATGAATGTAGTGAGGTGGCGATCTTCTTCCGCCAGGTCGACTTGCCAGTACCCATGTAGTGCATCCGCCGTGGTAAAGAACTTTGCAGACGGGGTGACGCTGCGGACTGCTTGGATGGGCGTAGGCGATGGATGGGCGGGACGGGAGACCTGCGAGTTGAGATGGGTGAGGTCCACTGTGATGCGAACACCTACAGGCTTGGGTGCCAAGACCATAGGGTGGCACCACTCGGAGGGCTCCTCACCGGCGTGTCTGATGATCCCCTGCTGCACCAGAGAATCGAGCTCCGCCTTCACCTTGTCCCGTAGGGCAAAGGGGATAGGCCTGGGTGTGTGGATGGCGAAAGGCGTCGCGCCAGGCTTGAGGTGGATTCTCATCGGGGGGCCTGTCATCTTCTTGAGCGGCGTCTTCTGGAGGTCGGACTTGGAGACAAGGACGTCGCTGAACTGACGAAGAAAAACTCCCGGGCGGCAGCAGGTGTGGTCATGGCTGAAACAGGTATCTCTGCACACCTGTTGAGGTGTGTCACGGCGAGGATGGGCTTTGGGAACTCGGATGAGACGATGGCCAAGTCCTGACAATGGCCACATGACAGGAGAGGGGTTTGGATGCCCTCATGGACGTGGACTGTGGCAAGGCAAGACTTGGGACCGAGCTCTAGTGTTGCCTTGAAGCAACCCAAAGGTGGAGACATCGGGGACCCGTCCGCTGTGAGCACGTCGTTCATGGCTGTGGGTGACAGGCTACTCCTGGGAATGTTGAGGGCGTCCAGGTGTGTTGGTCCAATCACCGTGATGTCCGCGCCCGTGTCAGGTATCATCAGGAGGTTGGAAGAGTTGGTACCGTAGGACAGACGAACATTGACGGGCTTGGGGAACCTGTCACTCGAGGCATCATCCACGCGTCGGCATCCTTTGTTGTTCTTGGGAGACGGTGGTGTGGACGTTCTGTCGGGCTGTGAAGAGACGTTTTGACCTGGAGATGGAGGCTTCTTGGTGGACCTGCAACACTTGGCGAAGTGTCCTTGCTTGTTGCAAGCGTTGCATGAGACCTTGTTGGCAGGACATCGAGTTGTGCGGGGCCAATGGCCTTGAAACCCGCAGTTTCGACATTTACTATCAGCCGCAGGGCACTTTCCTGGACCGTGCTGGCGCTGACAGTTTCTGCAGGATTCGGGAGAAGAAACTGGTGACTGTGACGGGGGCTGTGGAGAGGACGCCGTCTGCATCTGGCGTTGATTCCTCTTGTAGGTGGAGACGGCATGAACTTGAGACGGCGATGAGTGTATAGCTGAGGCAGCCTCTCTTGTGGCCTCATACGACCTGCAACAGGTGACGAAGTCGGTGAGGGAAGAGGCGGCGTCGAGGGTGAGGAGTTTCTGAAGCAGGTCCTCGTCACGTACACCCATCAGCAAGATCATCTTGAGCTGGATCTCAGCACAGGTTACAGGATCGCCTGTACATAGGTCCACCTCGGCTGCTAGGTCCTTAAGTCGTGCGTAGAAGTCTGAGAATGATTCCCCAGAAGCTTGTTTGCAGGATAGCAGTTCCCTACGACGCAAAGCTTCATTGCGGAGGCCTCGGAAATGACTCTGCAAGGCGTTTAAAACCTCTGTCACTGACATGGGGGAGTCAGGGGAATGGCTAGCGTGTGCTCTAGGAGGCGTTGAACATCGAGGGAAATGCACGATCTTAATTGGATGAGTTGTTTATGAGGGGGCATTCGGTTGAGGTCAGACATAACAGCAAAGTCTTCGAAACGACGTCGCCATTGACGGTATACTTGATATGTTGCATCAGATTGAAGAGGTGGGGGGCTGGGAACTGAAGACTTGCTGTGCAGGGGTGTACTCGAGACGGCAGGTAATGGAGGAGGTACGGAGAGGTCGACGAGAGTTGAGACTGGAGCAGGTGGTTGAGAAGGCACTGAGGTATACCCAAGGGGGATAGGTGACGTGTGAGGAGGCGTTGTCTGAAGGATAGATGAAGAGGCTGAAGCTGGCGAATTGGTTGTGGCAGCTGGTGAAGTCGTCCTCGTTGCCAGCAATTCCAATAGTTCCAGGAATTTGCGGTTATCAGCTTGGTGTTGTTGTTGAAGTTGAAGACGGTAAGCTGATTCCTCTGACTGTCTTGACAATTCCTCTTGATGTCGTTTTTCCTCCTCTAATTGACGTCTTTGGGCTTCCTTCTCTTGGGAAACTTGTAGGAAGTGAATTAACTGACGTATATCCTGGCTCCCATCCTTTGAATTTGGCGCGCCCGGCGTGTGAGGCGTGAGGGGGGGTGGGAGGGTCTGTGAGGCGTCGTCTTCCTCATAATCCTCATATAAATTTCCCAGCAAATCGTCGTGATCAGACATCTCGTGTTTGGTATGGTTGCGATGGGAAAGACAAGGAGAATAAGGTGAAGTGCTATGTTTTCGTCAATGTACTTGCCTAAGTGCAGGAACTGGCGGGCAAGTAAAAGAGTATTGACTGTAATATTTGTGAAGTGAGAGGAGGCGGCTGGCGGCGGTGTATTCCTCCGCGCGCCCGGGCGAGATGGCGGTGCTGACTCAGTCGAAGGGGGGGGCGCAGGCAGTGACCTGCGGGCCGGCGCAGACGGAGGATGTATGCCGGAAGTGCTGTCTTGGAAACTGGGCTGAAGGCGTTTCTGCTACCTGTAGGGCCCCAGAAACATAGCAAAACAGGCATGAAAGGCACTGCACTTCACTTATGGCACTTCACAAGGTCACAAAGCACTTTAAATCCAGGGGCACTGTGGAGTATATCTTTTGGGCGGGAAACAGAGGAAGAGCGGGAAACAGACGAGGCCGGCTCTTGAGACTTGTCAACTGTCGTGTTGGAGCTACTCAACTGCGCCATGTGGTGGGATGAAATCCTAGACAAGGTTCTTCAAACTCCAGGGCACAAGCAGTAGATATATTCAATAAGTAGTACAAGACTTGGCAGGATAACCAACCGGTACAGAAACAGGAGCCAGCACAAGGAACTCCTCGTCGTAAGCAGGCCGAAGCCGATCTGAGGGAAGTTAGCTCGCTAGGCAAGGAGAGTTGCTAGACATTACTAGGACAATAAATGAGGTCTTCTAGTTACTCGACTAGCGCGGTACAGACATAGTACATCGGGACATAGTAAGTGAACATAGGCATTAGACATAAAGGTTGCAAAATATTGAAACTGAAATTATTTTCTGTTTATATACACTAAAATCTACAAAAAAAGTGATGGGCCATTAGTTTTAGCTGATCTTCCCTCCTATGACACACCCTACTACGGCAGTCATGGGGAAGAGGCGAGTATAGAGTTCCAGGAGACAGTGATGCGTACTCCGTTGTGGTAGGAAACCATACACGCTGGATGAGAGTTTGTCCTGCAGCCAAAACATGAGACGAGTAAGGAGAATGCGTTCCATCGCCTTGCTGAAGCAAGATGTACAGGAAATGGGTCTGAATTTCACAGTGCCGCATATTGGAATGGATACTATTGTGCTGGAGGTCCAAGAATTGGGCGCATACCCCGTGCGAAAACAGGGATTGTAAAGCAGGAGGAGGGGGTTGCTGGGGACTTTCAGGACAAACAGAGAACTGAGTAGGTGACACCTTCATCACCCGGGGCAGTTGCCTTACCCCGAATGAGGGCACGTCGCAGTTCCTTTTTGGTTATCTCCAGCGTATCCTCTTCATCGACCTTCAGCAACGCTCCCATGAGACGGAGGGCACAGAGATGTTTTATTGGGAGGAGAGGGCCTCTTGAATGTGCTCCGAAAGATTACGGGCTTGGGATTGTTCTGACCATGTTTCGACAAGATCTTGTGTGTACTCTGCTGGGCTGTGGTGAAGGGCACTAGAGGACTTTTTCTTGACCACCTTGTTGATGAGGTGGCACATGGCTCCCACGGTAGTCTGATGGCTAATGGTTAACTCTGCCTGTGAGATTACGCCAGGATTCAGTCCGAACACATTGTTGGAGGGCAATTAGATCATCTCTGGATGACTGGTACTGGTGGAGACTGTCAAGGGTCGGTCGCCTTGGAATGAGACACCATCCTCCACCATTTTCTTTTCCGCCTGGAGGATACGTTCATCAAGGGTCCAGGCGTGGTATTCAAAGCGACGTTTGATGTGTGGCCGAGAGACGTAGTAACTGTGGAAGTTATGTGTGAAGTTCACGAGGGAGGAGTATAACTTCTCTGGCGACTTTAATTCGAATGTAGTGAGAAGGTTAGACATGTACGAGATGTAGGTAGGACAGTACTTCGGAGGGATGGTAATATGGTAACGAGTCTGGATAGGGGGGAGGTCCAGATGGGAGTGAGTAATGGAGGCTGAGGGCGACGTGGTCGGAGAAGAGGGTAGGGATGGATGAGGACCTTACATGGGATGCCACTAGTCCAGAAGTAATGATGTGATCAAGGGTACCTCCACGAGAGTGGCACCACCAGTATCCCAGCGAGATCGCTGGTGACGACGGATGTACTCAAAAAGACGAATCCCATTTTGGTTGGGATTAGGAGAGAGGTCCCCAAGCTCAGGGTGTCTAGCGCTGATATCTCCCTTGTAGATCATGACAGAGATTGTAGGACTAGGGAAGACAGAGAGATTAATCGTGACAGGGGCAGAGTAGACGTTTCATAGACGGATCTTGCCGTCACCCACTGCTATCTCAAGAAGCTGGAAGGTCATCTTGTCGTCCTCAGAGCAGCAAACAAGTCGATTTGGCATGGAGGAGGGGATGAAGCTGGAAGCTAATGAGACCCTTCCTGACAAGATGAACATAGGGAATGTAGCCAGTAAGTGGAGGAGCCTTCCCTCGAAATAGAGATTGGGCAGCAACAGCTTCCTGGGTGAAACAAAACATCTGGATGATGGTGATAAACATAATTTTCAAGGGAATTTCATGAGATAATGTTAAGCGGTATCCGGTTTTCGAACCTGACGTTTACCCTTATGAGAGCCAGGTGTGGAAGAGGAGGTGGCACGGGCGTCGCTTTGTGTTGTGCCACGTGAGGGGGCAGGAGACCAATGGTCCCCTCAAGGCGAGAGATGAAAGCATCTAGCTTCTCAGTAAGGGTGGTGACAGACGTGATGACGGTCTGTTGAGTTTCTACAAGAGAGGAGAGAGTGTTGTCAGTAGTGGTGTGCTGCAAGTGAGGTATACCGAGACATCAGAAAATTGACAACATTCCGGAGTCCAAGAGACAGGAGGCTGCCACAGAGAGACAGAAGAGGAGAAGAGTTGCCGAGGAAAAGAGACTTGAGAAGGCCCAGGGTGAGGTAAAAAAGGCCGATGATTGGAGTCAAGCTGATTCAGAGTTTAATGACTTCCCCATGGCTGATCCGAGTGCTGACCAGGAGAATGGTGACTTTGTCCCTAACCCAGAAAATAATGATCCCAAACCTTCCAGGCATAAGATTCGAAATAGGAAAGATATCCCGAGCATAGCTCTGGCCAGCATGCGACACCACACTGGTCTCAGAGAAACTGCAGAGATAGCAACAGCTGCCTGGATTGACGGTGGTTTGATAACACCTGATGATGTTCACCTGGTGATAGATCATAACAAAGTAAGGAGAGCTCAGGAGAAACTTGTCAGTAACCTAGAAGAGGAGTTTGATAAGGGAATAAGAGAAAATGGAATCAATTGTTTGTTCTTTGATGGGAGAAGGGATGACACTAAAGTGTTCATGAAAGTTGGAGATTCTGACAAGTTGTTCCCTGCCATGGTGAAGGAGGAACACTACTCCTGCTGCAGTGAACCAGGAGGGAAATATTTGTGGCATTTCACTCCAGAGAAAGATGACATCAGGAAACCAGCTGAGATAGTGGCAGATAACATTGTGAACTGGCTCAGAGAGCGGAACGTAGACCAGACCCTGCAGGCCATTGGAGGGGACAGCACCAACACGAACACAGGGTGGCAAGGGGGGGTCATACAGTGGATAGAGCGGAAGATTGGGAGGAAGCTGGTCTGGATTGTTTGTGACCTCCACACCAACGAGTTGCCACTCAGACATCTGATCCAGGAGCTGGATGGCAAGACTCTTTCAAACAACAGGTGGTCTGGTCCTCTTGGCAAGATGCTGGACTCTGCCACTGAGTTAAAAATAAATCCGAGCTTTGAAAAAATCACAGTTGGCCCTCCACTCGTTGAGCTTGCACATACTGTCATTGACGACCTGAGTACTGACCAGTACTATGGTTACATGATTTGCAGTGCCATCAAAACTGGGGTCATGCCTGATAGACTTGCTTACCTGCAGATAGGTCCAGTCTCACATTCTAGGTGGCTCACAACAGCTCTCAGGTTCTGCAGAATTTGGGTCGCTCATCATAAACTGAAAGGGAACCAGCTTCACAACCTGAGACTTATTGTCCAATTCATCGTGAGTGTCTACTTGCCAAATTGGTTCAACACCAAGGTCAAGTCATCGTTCTCCGAAGGTCCGAGGCATGTTCTCTTCCAGTTTGAGCTCCTGAGGAGTCAGCCAAGGAAGGTTGTTCAGATTGTGGAGCAGACTGTGAGGAGATCTTCCTGGTATGCTCATCCCGAGGCAGTTCTGCAGACAATGCTCTGCAGTAAGGATGAGGAGGAGAGAAGAGTGGCAGTCAAAAAGATCTTGGATATGAGACTTATGAGAGGATCTGGGCATGACGAATCAGTTGGTGACGATTCCTTCAGGGTCAGGAAGACTCCTGAAGTCAATCTAGGTGCCAAGACCCTCACTGATCTCATAGATCTGGATAACATCCAGGGTGGCAGTGAGCCCCCTCTTACCTGCAGCCTCACCAATGTTCAAGTCAGAGCTTTCCTGGACAACCCCATGCATGTCCCTGCCTGGCCCTCGCACACCCAGAGTATAGAGCGTTGTGTACAGCAAGTGAGCGAGGCCAGCAGTCACGTGTACAGCCAGGAGAGGAGGGAAAGCTACATCCGAGCTCAGGTGGTCAGCAGGGAGGTGATGAGTAAGAAACAGAAGCAAGAAAGACATGTTCTCTATGGTGTGCAGCAACACCGGGTCGTAGTAGTAAAACCGGTGTTTGTATTTGATGATTTTGTTTTCTAAAGGAATATTAAATTTAATAAATGTGTCAAGATCATTCGTTTCACTATTCTGGATCATTTTCATCCTAATAAATTAACCTGATACATTTACTTTACTTTAAATAAGCTATTTAGTGGTGTTGGTAAAAGGGTGGGAATACTGAATTTTCATAAGATTTCAAGTTAAAATTTACCTAGCAAAAAATGAAAACTTTTCAAATCTGAAGATATCACATGAGTCTGCACATAGAACTACATCATTAATACCATGAGCCGATTTTTCAAACTCAAAAAAAAAAAATTCGCCTCGGTATGACACACCCTACTGCCGTAGCCTTCATCGATCGTAAAAGCGCCTTTGATGTTGCAAATAGAGATATTATCCTTGATCAGCTAGTAGACTTCGGCGTTAAAGGTAATTTCTTAGATGGATTCGTGGATACCTCCGGAACAGAACCTCCCGTGTCTTCTTTATGGGGGCATGTAGCTCCACCAAGGACTTCAATCTTGGTACTCCATAGGGTGGTGTTCTTAGCCCCTTTCTTTTTAATATCCTTATGCATCGCCTACTTTCTCATCTTCCTGGTATTCCCGGTACCACAGTTACCTGTCACGTAGATGATATCTGGATTCACTCTGAGTCGCCGGATGATCTTCACCACCTCCTCAACTCATTCTCAGCGTCTTCTTCTGCTTGTGGTCCCATCCTACCCCCCCAGACAAAAGTAGGATCTTCTCTCCTCGTAACCCGGGGACACTCCGAGAATTCACTGTGGGAGATAGTATTATCCTTCCGTGCACCTGTACTGATTACTCCAGCTACACCTGTACGAGTACATGTCCATCCCATCGTCCGGGATCTCATAAATCGACTGCAACAGCGTCTAACCCCTCTCTTGTGGCTCACCAACAATGCTGCCGGGATTTATATCCCTGTAGCCAGAACTGTTTACGTCATGTTTATCCGATCTGCTTTCGACTACCTTTCTTCTGCCCGATGTCAACTTTTCCCAAAATCCCTAGATCCCCTTGAAAAGTTTCAGAACAAAGTCATGAGATTTATCCTGGGTTGTCCCACCTCCATCAGGATAGTTAACATGCAAACTGAACTCAATCTTCCTTCCCTTGTTGAGAGAATATACGCTAATGTCTCCTGCTTCAGTGTCAAATGTCTTCACTCTCCCCACCTTGACCCAAATTCACCTCAGCCTCTACTGCGGCCGGGTGGTCTCACCCTCATTAAAATAATTTGTTCTATGCTTCAGAACCTCGATATTGATGTACCGCAACAGAGGTTGATCATGGTCCTCCAACCTGGTGGATTCCCTGTCCAGCAGTCACCTTTACTCACAACACAAATGCGGACCCTCCTCTACTTCAGAAACAATTAGCTATGGAGACTATACACAGAGTCGCTACATCATCTATACACCGATGGTTCCCTACAGGGAGACGGAAGTGCGGGGTGCACTCTTTTCTCACTGGATGTGGACCCAC